CTTTAACCCATCTTGCCAAGTGAACACCAATTAATTCTACTATGCTATTCTTTTTGTTCAAAAACTTCAAGGCCTTCAGAAAAAAAAAGTACAAATTATTAATCTGGCATTCAAGATCTTCAACAATGTACTTTATAATTTGGTCTCTCCTCCCTTTGTGGGGACAGTGAATATAGCAAAACAAAAATAATCACTTGTTCTTAGTTGCCTGATTTTCTACTCTTCTGAACACTCTTTTTCTTTCTTCACAATGCTTTTTAACCCTTTATTCTTTTTAATATCAAATACTTATCTTTTAATATCCAAGCTGAGTATCACTTCTTCCTCAAAGTTCTCTACCTGCCCTCTTCTGCTGCTAGAAAATTTCTTTTTCCTCAATATCTACAATATAGCATTCAATTATTTCAGCTTCACCACTCTACTGAATATACTTTTGAGGCAGAATCCATATCAAGTTTTATACATAGTAATATATCAATAAATATTTTTTAAGGATTTGACCTAAGTTGCCATTAATGTCCCTTTCAATTTGAGATTCTGTGATTAATATTTATACATTTATATCCCATGAAAAAGAAGAAAAAATTATGTTATTTTTTTCTTCTCTAAGGAAACCTAACTTAATGATCAGTAATTAATGTTCTAGCATATTACACACAATTATAATAACAAAACCTTGTAGAAATTTGGTTGCTAATTCAAGAATCCTTTACTGAAAAAATGTAATATTGAGGGGGCATGCCTTATTCCTCCATATAATTTATTACTTAACCTGTTTAACATTTACACAGATCTAAGTGCAAAGGACCTTGTTAAGCATTAGTTATAAATACACCAGTAAATATAGTCCTTGTCCACAAGAAACAAAAGTGTGTGATAAAGTCAAATACTAATCATATAACGCATACCTAATAAAAAGATAATATGTTAAGTGGAGTAAGAATATAACATATATTATAAATATATATTCCATTTTAAAAGTTTAAATATGTAAAGTCTTGATTAAAGATATAACTCATATAGATATGATGGAGCAGAACTGAGATCTGATGACTTGTCAGAATGGGAATTTCACCTAAGAATATTTTCTACTTGGATTATCTGGCCACTAAATTGTAGAAACTACCAACAAAAGTGTTCAAGAGATACAGATGACATCAAAAAATATGTGAGAGCTATATCATTTTCACATCAAATAAGACCAATTATGGTCTAAGCAAAAAGACCCCAATTTTTAACATGTTCAGTAGAGAGGCAGGTTACAAAATTAACCTACAAAAGTCTGTAGCCTTTCTATAGACCAATAAAAAGCAATCAGAGAAAGAGCACATGGAAACACTCCCCTTCACAATAGCTGCAAAAAAAAAAAAATATCTCGGAATAAACCTGACCAAAGACATTAAAGAGCTCTAAA